GTCACATGTAGTTGGGAAAAAAATAAAATGTTATTTTTAAAACTGGTCATTCAAAAGCATAAGAAGGGATAGTAGTAAACCTCATATTGGAAATATGCAGCCACTTTAATCTGTCCAGTTGGGCAGGTGCTTGTACCTGAGGGAAGGTGATGGAAGAGCCCAAGGGCATCATTGAAATGTGCAGGGAGACTTCAAGCTGATATCCCACATGGAGTTTCTCTTCCCAAATCAAACGAAGCAAGGTCAGTTTGGGTTTTGGGGGATTATCTCTGAGGGTTCAGGAAAGGGCTGAAAGGTGTTCAGTGACCACCATGAAACCCACGTCTCCCTTTTGAGAGAAGAGCTGAATGTATGATTCCTGGCAGCTGAAGGTATATTCTCTATCTCCTTCTCATCTAGCCCAGCAATAAAATTCCCAATCAAAAATCCTGCAGTTTAAGCCTTTGAAATTCCATGATCTGGGATCTTTAATCAGGGGCTTTCCTTTTTAAATTATTGTCAGCCAGGTTTCTGAAAATCCTGGGTGCTTGAGATTCAATTGGGAGAGCAGGGGGGACAGATGGGCTATGCATGTCTTCTCACAAAGTCTGTGAACATGAATCCCATTGTGAAGAAAGTATGGCAATGCAAAGATTAAGACAACTCCGAAAGACTCATGATAGCAAATGCTATCCAGAAAGAGAACCATGGAGTCTGAATGCAGATTGAAGCATACTATTTGCTCTCTCTCTTTTTTAAAAAATTTGTTTCTTCTTTCTCGTGGTTCCTTGCATTGGCTCTAATTCTTCTTTACAACATGACTAATGTTAAATATTTAATATGAATGTATATGTTGAGCCTTTATCAGATTGCACATCATCTTGGAGAGGAGGGAGGTGAGTCAGGAGGGGGAGAAAATTTAGAACTCAAAATCTTATGGAAGTGAATATTGAAGACTAAAAATAAACTAACTAATAAAAAAGAAAGTATGACACATACATGTACACACATGCACACTTTGTTTCTTTGGAAAACTTTTACTTGGGGAAGGGAACACCCAACAGCGCAAAATTACAACATTACGTTTAATCTTTCTCTGTAAACACAGCAGCCTTGTTTATATCTTATTTCCATTTCATTTTCAGTCTCTCACCACTTTTTAATGAAAGTTTGCAAAGCTTTGTTATTGACCTTTTCAAGGAAATAAGCAATGTATTAGTACCTATAAACATCATATTGCAGTGTTTTAAAGACATTTGTGTTTTGTGAAGAGACATTTCAAGAATATTCAAGATATTTCAAGGGGGTTTTTTGTGGGGGAGGAGGAAGTGTGCTGCATCTTTTTTTCTTTTTGAGAGAGAGAGACTTACAAGGTCCTAAGCTGCTATCCTTTCCCTGTCTGCTGGGGCCATCTTTATCAAAGGAGATAGAGAAAAAATAATTTTTCTTTCAGAATTGAAAAAAACAACTGAGTACAACATTTCTCAAATTAATTTGCTCAGTAAACACTGTAGACTTCAAAATATACTGCTGGGATCCATAAATGGTGGTCCAAGGCATCTGGAGGTATAAAATATCTCCATAAAAAAAGGCCAGGGAGATTTGGCAGAAAAAAGAACAAATTAAACCTACTTCCATATCCAAAAAATTATTGTATAGAATAATTATTATTTTGGACATGAAAGTAATTTCATACTTAATATTTTATAGGGGGAAACATCAGTAGCATTGACATTGTCTTCCGGAGCCCCTAGTTTCATTAAGTACAGCATCAGGGTTCTGAAAAGCAGTATTTGGGAAATGCTGTTAGTACTTGGAGAATTCAAGTCAACAAAGCGCTTCTTAAACTGTGGGTCACAAAAAATTTGGCAACAGTAAAAGGTTTCCAAACAAAAATTAATTCAAAATCAAACATGTAATGGATCTGAGGTGCTTCTGACAGTGCTTGACTGTATTGCATCATGCAACTTCACTGCAGCCTTGCTTCTGAACACAAAGCATGCAGAGTTTGCATTGTGCATGCCCTCAGGCCATGGAATGCCAACCAAAAGCCCTGGTCAAGAGCACCACTTTGAAACAGACCTTTAACCTACAAGACTGATAGATCTACAAATAAATTTTAACATGCTATCTTCCTCCCAAAGCACAAGAGTCACTCATGGTCTAACATTATATACTGAATATCTATTATGCTGTACCACCTGTTATGTAAGATATGTTCCTCCATCTGGTAGACAGAGCAAAAGGTTCAAGAAATTTGTGGCAAACTTGCAAAGACTACACAAAGAAATTATTTATTTTATCAAGTCTCACACTATAAATGGCAAATTATCTTTATAGCTGAGATGGGAACATAAGCAAAAAAAAAACACATCCAATTCAAAGAACATTACACAGTGGTCATTTGGAGTTAATTACTAGTAATCATGTGTCATGATACTATGCCAATCTCATCAGTTTTTTGAAAAAAAGGATAGACATCAAGTTGTAGGGGGAAATGGTATTACTACCAAGAACACCATTCAGAGAGAATAATTTAATTTCTGGAAATGGAAAATTTCAGTTGACCTCCTTTCCTTCAGAGATCAGTCCATGTAATTCTGTGGCCTTCAAAATTTCAAGTCTTCATGGTCGGTCATGGTCTAAACAATTAAATTGTCCTTGATAGCTTGCAGATGTTGTCCCAATGCAGAGAATATAAGGCCCTTGACTACCCATATGCAGAAACCTGGTAGTTTTCACAGAATTACAAATAACTACATTAGTTTTGCCCAAGTACAAAGAATCACAGAAGGCCATTAAAAACCAAAGCCTCAACTCACATGGAATAGGATCTAAAAGTAATACAAATGCCATCATCTGTGGCTTGGGCTCAGCAAAATAAACAGAACAATGAACCTATGATTATGTAAGGATTAGATTTTCAGAACTTGGATTTGACCTTTAAAAAAGCTGCTCAACTAATTCCCACCTGGGCAAAGATGGTTCCACCTGCTTCATTCAGGGCAGAGATAATCGCTCTAAAGCAGGGGTGGGGAACCTGTGGCCTTCTAGGTCCTTGGGTGTGGACCTTTTGATGGAGCCCATGTTTTACAGAACAGATCCTTTTATTCAGGGGATTTGTTCTGTGAGGTTTGGATTCAGTCAAAGGGCCTCACTTGAGGGTTTCCCACATTTGGGCAAGTCCCATTGCAGAAAGTTTCAAATATTCCTCTGCAGAATGAGCAGATTTTTTCCACATCTTTGAAAGTAAAGAAAAAAAGGTTCAAAAGATATGGAAATTACTTCATTTTTCTACAGCAAAAAGATTTTACTCAAAATCATTATTGTTCTATTACCAAGTGGAATCATCATGGTATAGTGGAAAGAGGGCTAACGGTGGTACAGGATCTGAGTTCAGTGGTTCTGCCACTTAGTGGATGACCTTGGACAAGTCACCTAGCTTTCCTGGGCTTTAGTTTCCTCATTTTTAAAATGAGAACGTAGAACTCTATGACCTCTAAGGTCCCTTCTAGCTCTAGGAACCTGTGAATCAAGACTGGCTGGGAACTGGCCACTAGATAAGGTCCTGTGCAGCCAAGTCAAAGCACGTGGGACTCTGGAGAAATTATGGAAGGTATGGGGCAGCACACAATCCTTTACAGAGAAGGTAACTCATCTGTGGCATCTCCCCCTAAGTGGTAAAGAGTCTCTACATAGTGCGGAGATGGGCTTTTCATAGATGTAATGGAGCCAGCTACCCAGAGCTATTCAACCTACCTGGAGAGAGGTTAAGACTGGAGGAGACTGTGTTTCCGCTTCTTTCTTTCTTCTTCCAACCTCTGCCTTCCTCTTTCCTACTCATTAGCACCTCTGGCCAGAAAGTGGTCAGAGAGAAATAACAGAAGGCAAAATTCAGAACAGTTTTAGGTTGGTTGGTAGTAATGGATAAAATAATAAAATTCATTAGGTATAGTGCTTTAAGGCAAGGGTCCACTTAGCTAGCCCTTCTGACTTTTGTATGTCCCAAGAGCTAAGAATGGTATTTTTAATATTTTTTAAAATAATAACTTTATATTTGAAAATGAAAATGTAAAAACCATTCTTAGCTCATGGGCTGTACAAAAAAAGAGGTGAGACAAATGGTAAACTTGTTTTCAGGCTTATAAAGCACTTAATATACAATATCTCACTTGATCTTCTCAACAGCCCAGTGAGATATTATTAACACTATGAACTTTTGATGCCCATTTTTAGATTAGGTAAATGAGGCTCAAAGATGTTAAGTGATTTGCCCAAGATCACCCAGTTCATATTTCTCCTGATTCCATATCCAGAACATTTAGCTAGTTTCCCCTGCTAGCCCCAGAGAACCTAGAGCCATCAGCAAGGGTAGTATATTGGTATTTAAAACTCTGAAAATAAGACTAAAACAGGCTGCATGAGGGGGACACTCAAGATTTTCTAAAAAAACATATTTATACTGTAAACCATGCTCCTGTCATCAGGAGAGCTGGGCTTGAGCATCTCTGATACGAACACATACATGATAATGTAACGCATGGAGACCAAGCTGTCAACCTGTAAAAGGTCACAAAGAAATACATTCTAAAAGGTAGTACTACAAACTCAAAGAGTATCATGAAACGGAAAAAGATTTTTAAACACTGACTTCTTAATGCACATCATCAGCTATTCCGGAACTCCAGTCACAGAAAAATCAATCTATTTTTAAAAAAACGATGAGAGGCAAATACTGATTTATGCAACTGTTCCATAAATAATTACACTGGGTGAATAACCAGGCCTGACTAGTGAAGATTCAGGTTTGCTCAGCTAAAAACCACTATTCACTTCTAACTATAAACATGGCTTACCATCAAGATCACAATGAGAGGTTCACAAATGCAATTTTTAAGAGGATTTATATCATAAAATTTAAATGGAGGTAAGATCTATGGTAGAGGTGGGGAACTGCAACCCTTTGACTGAATCCAAACTTCATAGAACAAATCTCCTTAATAAAAGGATCTGTTCTGTAAAACTTGGGACCCAAGTCAAAAGGTCACACCCAAGGACCTAGAGGGCCACATGTGGCCTCGAGGCCGCAGGTTCCCCATGATGGTTCTGAATTCTCACTTGAAAGAATTGTCTCATCCACTCACCTGTACATAGCACATCTCTACCTATTATTATTTAAAAACTGCCTATAAAATTTTTCTGCAAAACAAGTGGCCAAATGGCTTTAGTACCACGACTTGAATCCTTTCCAAAAAGTACATATTTTGGCAGGAATGACATAATGCTTTCTGACAGAAATCCAATACAGGTTTGCCTCACTTTTAAGCCAAAGAAATGTCCCCTTGAAGCTGTATTTCAATTGAATCACATCTTAGATGCATTAGGTGAGCTCAGGGTTTGAAGAAACCCCGCAGGAATTCCCTTTTGGGAAGTGGCTCCCTTTGCAATATGAAATATTCTTTCCCGTAGTTTTCCACTTTGTCAGCTTGGATGTCTGTGCCTGGGTTTTTAAAGCAAGGCTGTATTTGGAGTCATCCAGATGTGGGCTTAACAAGTTCTTTTTGTCTTCATTTTAACTAGCCTCTTTCAGGTTAGTGTTCCCTACACCTCGGACTTCCTGACTTATATGTTTGTTTGACAACACTTTGCTGCAAAAACAACAACAAGAAGCCCAAACCAAACCCCCCCCCCAAAAAAAACCAAACCCAAACTAAAGCCTTTGTTTGAAGGCATTAGACTGGTCTGACATAGAAACTGCTTAAATGGAGACCAAAAAACCTACAATATAGTACAAAAGCTTTAACAATAGAGTCTAATTTTTATTATCCCCAAAATAAGACACTTAGGAGGAAGTCAGTTTTTTCTATACACCTGCTATCCACATATACCTTGCAGGACACTTTGTGGTCCAACAGTGATCATTAAGTACCCCAGGAGCTTAATAATACTTGACTTTTATTTTTTGTAAGTTCATATCTTCATGTTGATGTGAAATTGATCATCATTATCTTCCACAGAACAGCTTTTCTCTAGATCTCTTGCCAGTGCCACACTTCTTTTTACACCTTAACTGTTTTATTATTTATGTATTAAAATGGTTCTAGCAGCTATACTGGAGGCAGTCTGCTTAGCTCTCAGGTAATTCATTCAATATGTTCTTAAACCTCCATTACCTTGCCTCTTGCTCACAATACTGAGAATCTTTGAGCTCATCACCCCAGTGCAGACACTAGATCAGTTCCTTGCCATCCTCACCAAATGTGTACCCATTGTGAGTTGGGCTCAATTCAAGGTGGGTAAGAGCCTGATCCTTTGACTTCTCTAATCAGCAAGGCTTGCACCATAACTGGGATGCCACTCTTCATAAAAGTCACAACACTGAAAGTTAGTGGGAAAGGGTCATTGTGAAGACTCTAGAAGTCTCTGGCGAATTTTCTTCTCTTCATTGTTTGCTTTGGCTTCGTTGCTTAAATCCTGATCTGTCAAAACTGAAACAAAACAAAACCCCCACATTTTAGATGGCAGCTTTAATTGAGGGGAACCAGTCTCAACCTCTAGAAGCCGCTTTTCTCTTAACTGATCTGGATGGACTCTGCAAAAGGTCCCCCTTTACTTCACCAGGTTTTGGCTTTTAGGTATTTGTAAGCATTTTTAAGTCATTCCGAGACAACCATTCAAATCAACAATTACATGAGAACTTTGACCCTTTTGAGTCTAAGGTTAATTGTCACTATACGATGTCTTTTAAAAAAAATCACTAAAAGTTTCTACCAGAATTATGGAAACTGGAAATAGGATATTTTTGAAAACATGAACACTGATTTGGCTTGGCATCCCAAAACTGTCAAAGTATTTAACTACATTTGAGAACTTAAATTTTGTCTTTTAGTCAGCTTAATTAAGCATTTGGTAGGCTGATGAGGCAAATAGAGCTCGCTGGGGCAGAGGAAGCATATATGAATTCTCGTTAGTTGGCCAGCTACCCTTTGATTTGCCCCCTTTGTCAATAATCTGAAAATTGTTCTTTCCATTATAGAAGTATGTGGGTTAATTGTGAAATCTGTTACACTGACAAAGACTCACCAGACAGACAGAGGGTTCACATACAAATAAGCATATCTTCATAGTTATACTTCAACTTCAACAGATCTGGCTTGGTTTTCCCAGAAGTATCAAATGATTTAAGCAAATTTTAGAATTTAAATTTTGTTTTTAGTCAATTTTGACCATACCACAAGCTGTACCTCAACTTCAAGAGGCAGACAAAACACAGCTGAGTCAGTACTTGTCTGAGACATAATTCACTGAAGGCTGGAGAGATCCTCAGAACTCGGAGGGAGTGTGGAAGCCCTGTAATGGGAGGGGTACACATATGCATAGATAGGTAGGAAAAAGAAAGACAGGAGATAAATAGGAAATAGATGAAAGAAAGGTATATAAAGATAGATATAGATACAGGTAGATCTAGAGATTGATAGATATAAACATGTGAGATAGATATAGAGATTGATAAAGATATAATATAGATACAGATAGATGGAAGATAGATGGGAGAAAGAGTTATATAAAGATAATTATAGATATGGGTAGATATAGATATACAGATATGGTTATAGATGGAAACATAGATAGATAATATACATTATATATGTATTATACTATATGCTATATTATGTTATATAGAAATACAGAAACACGGATGGATAAATAGACATATAGGAGACAGGGAGGCAAAGAAGCTGGGAAAGAGAAAAGGAAGATGAAAGGAGGGAGAGTAAAAGGGGTTCTGTGGGTGTCTCCTCTTTAGAAGTCTTTAGGATGATACTGTCCTTCTCCACACTCCTTATCATCTTCACCTAAAATAACACTAAAATATCGTTTGAACTTTCAATAAAGGTGGTGATAATATCTATGTCTACCCCAGAAAGAGCAGCTAACAGTACTCTGGGGGCTGCCCTTCACCAATGACCTTAAAGACATCCCTACCGTTGAGCTCTGTCACATCATTCCCAGGTTCCGCTCCCTTTTTCTCTGCAGGCTTGGTGGTTTTACCATCTACGACATCAGTCTTGATCATCCCAAGGTTAGACAGGAGTAGCATGGGGTCAATCCCCTGACTGTTGTTTTTAATGTTCTCCAGGACTTTAAGACACTTAAAGGACTTAAGCTCACTTATATTTTCTTCCAGGAAAAGATAATAGAGACTCAAGTCATTGTATTCTTCTGACTTGAAGTGCAGGATATCAAAGGTGGGCAGGATTTCATAGACTTTGAGAACGTCAGTTTTCTGTCTAAAGGGAACCAAGAATGTGTACATGACCACGGGCGCCAGCAGAGCATAAACCACCAGGTTAATGAAACTGAGAAGCTGGAAAATCCCAACTGCAATGAGCTTACACTGAATCTGCTCTGGAACTGTGCTGTCATTCTTCAGGATTCCCGACTTGATGCTGCAGACAAACTCATCAGTCAGGGAGGAAAGGCTGAAGTAATAACCCAGGTAGACACAGGCCAGCAGTATAATTATGAAGGTCACGGCCCGGCAGATGAGGTACTTGACTATTAAGTTCTTTGACTTCTTCTTTGTCTTCAAGTACTGTTCCACTATTGGGTATTTGAAGTGGCTTTCAGAGATTTCCCAGAGACTTTAAAAAAAAAGAGAGAGAAAAGAAAAATTAGAATGATTAAGTAAAAATTGAATTAGAACCTCATAGAATAGGTGGGATGGGTCTACACTTCCATACATTCAATACTATTATGTAATGAACCAAAGCTACAACTTTATAAGGGCATGAATAGATGTGGTCAAAGAAATGGTGTTTCTACATTAAATCTTGCAGAGCTTACTTTATTTTTAAATATATTTTTACTTATTTCATTATTTACCAATTACATGTAAAATTTTTAACAAGCATTTTTTAATATTTTGAGTTCCAAGTTCTCTACCTCCCTCCCACCCCCTGCCTCAAGTAATTTGATATTGATCATGCATGTGAAGTCATGCAAAATTTCCATGTATATTTCCATATTAGCCATGTTGCAAAAAGAGACAAAAAAATAAAACAAGAAAAATAAAGAAAGTAAAATAAGTACACTTCAAATTGTATTCAGAATTCATCAGCTCTTTCTCTGGAAGTGGATAGCATTTTTTATTATGGGTCCTTTGGAATTGTCTTGGATCATTGTCTTGACCAGAGTAGCTAAGTCTTTCACAGATGATCATCTTTACAATATTGCTATTATTGTGTACAATATTCTCCTGGTTCTGCTTACTTCACTTTGCATGTGTTCACAGAAGTCTTCCCAGGTTTTCCTGAAACCATCCTGTTCATCATTTCTTATAGCACAATAGTATTCCATCACAATTATATACCACAGCTTGTTCAGCCATTTCCCAACTGATGGGCATTCCCTCAATTTCTAATCTTCTGCCACCACGAAAAGGGCTGCAATAAATATTTTTGAACACATAGGTCCTTTCCTCTTTTCTTTGATCTCTTTGAGATATCGACCTAGTAGTGTTGCAGGGTCACAGGGTATGCACAGTTTTATAGTCCTTTGGGCATACTTCTAAATTGTTCTACAGAATGGTTGGATCAATTCACAGCTCCACCAGCAGTGTATTAGTGTCCCTATTTTTCCACATTCCCTCTGGCATTTGTCATTTTCTTTCTCAGTCATGTCAGCCAATCTAATAGGCTTGAGATGGTACTTCAGAGTTGTTTTAATTTGTATTTCTCTAATCAATAGTGACTTAGAATATTTTTATGTGACTATTGATAGCTTTAATTTCTTCCTCTGAAAACTGCCTGTTCATATCCTTTGACCATTTATCAAATGGGGAATAGCTCTTATTTTTTGTAATTTTGGCTCAGTTCCTTATATTTGAAAAATGAGGCCTTTGTCAGAGAAATCTGTTATAAAAATTTTCCCGCAGTTTCATTTTCCTTCTAATTTTGTCTGTATTAGTTTTGTTTATGCAAAAGCTTTTTTTTATTCCATGTAATCAAAATTATCTGTCTTACTTCCTGTGATTCCCTTTTATCTCTTTTTTGATCACAAATTCTATTATCCATAGATGTGAGAGGTACATTTATCCGATATCACCCTTTTTGTCTAAACCATTTATCCATTTTATCTTATCTTGGTATACCATGCCTAGTTTGTGCCAAACTGCTTCCCAGTTTTCCCAGCAATTTTTGTCAGATGCTCAGTTCTTATCCCAAAAGCTTGGATCTTTAGGTTTATCAAACATTAGATTACCATGGTCACTTACCACTGTGTATTGCATACCTAGTCTATTCCACTGATCCACCACTCTATTTCTTATCCAGTAAGATTGTGTTGATAATTACTATTTCATGTTAAAGTTGGGATCTGTTCCGTGTTTGTGTATGTGTGTGTGTATGTGTCTCAACCTTTAGGTTTTTTCCCACTGCTGTTTTCAGAGCTGTTTCTGGGGGGTTTGGAAGTTTTCAGTGCTTCTAAGATGGTATGATCTGGCGAGAGGTGTGATCATTCCTGGTCTGCACTCTGGTCCTTACTGCAGAGGTCCCTGATCCCCTGTAATTGTAATCAATACAAGGGACTCAAGGCCCCTATTCCTTTGGGACCAGAAATAATAATGTTCCTCAGATCTTCTGTTCCCTCTTGGCCCAAAGTGTTCATCTCTGCCCTTGAACCCAGAAGTGGGTATAAGCAATGGAGCTGCCAGATAGTGTCTGGTCCTGTATTCAGTGTTAACAGTCCTATACGTTAGCATTCATCTCCTATAATCTCTTTCTGACCCATTACCAGGTCCCCTTACCCTCTCTTGCTTGAGAGCTCCAAAGCTGCTGCTGCTTCTGTTGCCACAACTAGTCCTACCCCTGGTATTTCATCTGTGTGGATTCCAGGCCAGCCTCCACCCACATATCACTGATCTCTCTTTCCTACTTTCTAAGTTGTCTTGGGCTGAAAAAATATTTCAGTCTGACCTTTTGTTAGCTCTGCCATTCCAGAATTTGACTTGAGGTATTATTTTAAAGTTGTTTGGAGGGCAATGTTGGGAGAGCTTAGCTGGGTCCTTTTTCTACTCCACCCTATTGGGTCCTAATAGTCCATAGTATATTTTATAAGGACCGTGATTCATATACTTTTTGTCACCAAAGTCAGCCCTTTTGAAGGGAATTTAGAGAATGTCAAGTTCAGATGCTTATTTCATAAGTGAAGAAAGTGAAGCTCAAAGAAGGTAAGTAACTTTTGAAAGGCCACATGGTGAGTTTGTGGGACTCCAACCCAGGTCTTCTGACTCCAAGGTCAGTGCTTCTCCTACCATGACATGATGGGATCCAACAATCAAGAGAGCACCATCCTTGTTCAAGGCAAAACCCAAACACTGAAGAGTAAAGCAATGTCTTATTATTTTATCCCCAAAAGGCAACTAAAAGACATAGGTATAGTAGGCCAAGGAAGGAATGCATATAACAACTTTACAATTAGCATAAAGTATGAAAAATGAATCCTTAAAAGTATTCCCACTATTCAAATTCACAATGAATATTTCTAATAGGCTGGAACCAATTGCTATATTTTATATTATTATAACCTTGAATAGTGTGAATTCAAATACATGTAGACATTTCGGGGGATTCATATTCCCACTAATTGAGACCTAGCTGTATAATTGCCTGAGTCCTCACAACCGAAAAAGAAGAGAAAGGGGGGAAATGGCATACACAAATATACATATATATGCATATGTGTGTGTATATACATATACACACACGTATGTATATTTTAATGTGTATGTGCATATGCACGTATATACATATACACATCCATACATTCGTGTGTGTTGTGTGTGTGTTTGTGTGCATATTTGAATATACACCATGACACCAAAGAGAGTTGCTATAATGCAGGAAGAAAAATACTAAGCAACTTGATAAACTAATTCACACTTTAGAAGCACCAATACCTTCTCAAATTATCCCTGATTGTTTAACCTAAAGGAAGGAGCAGGATTCTAGTGGTAGAAATGCAGGCATTATGACAGGTGGATTAGATAGAGATTTCTGAAGACTGGTTTTAAGTTGGTCTAGGCCTCAGGAATGGGGCAAGAGACTGTCAGAGGGAGGCCTGGTCCCCACATACCAAGAGTCTGTTAGAACTCCCATGCAATCTTACCTTTGCCCAACATTCTCAGCCACACTCACAAATGGGCTGGCACCATCTCTCACATCAACACCATGAACACTCTTCACAGCTTTGATGGCCCGGTTGTAAACTTTGTCAAGTTCCTCCATAATGAACTTCATATCCGAACAAAGGTGAGGGGCCGCAGTGAAACGCCAAAACAATGTAGGCATGTACAACAGTATGGCTAGCAGCAACAAAATGTAAGGGAAAAACTAAAGGGAGAAAACAAAGAGAGAGAAAACAGTCATTAACAACCAAGATTAGGAGAGAAGCAGAAAACTGGGAATTTTTACAACCGATGTCTCTGATAAGGGCCTCATTTCTAAAATATATAGAGAACTAAGTCAAATTTGTAAGACTATAAGTCATTCCCCAGTTGATAAATGGTCAAGGGATATGAATAGGCAGTTTTAAGATGAAGAAATTAAATCCATCTATAGTCATATGAAAAAATGCTCTAAATCACTATTGACTAGAGAAACACAAATCAAAACAACTCTGAGGTATCACATCACACCTATCAGATTGGCCAACATGACAAAACAGGAAAATGATAAATGTTGGAGAAGATGTGGGAAAATTGGAACATTAATGCATTGTTGGTGGAGTTGTGAAATGTTCCAACCATTTTGGAGAGCAATTTGGAACTATGCCCAAAGGGCCATAAAAATGTGCATTTCCTTTGACCCAGCAATAGCACTTCTAGGGCTGTATCCTAAAGAGATCATACAAATGGGAAAAGGACCCACATATACAAAAATACTTACAGCAGCTCTTTTTGTGGTGGCAAAGAATTGGAAATTGAGGGGATGCCCATCAATGGGGGAATGGCTGAACAAGTTGTGGTATATGAATGTAATGGAATACTATTGTGCTATAAGAAATGATGAATAGGCTGACTTCAGAAAAACCTGGAAAGACTTGTATGGACTGATGCTGAGTGAAGTGAGCAGAACCAGGAGAACACTGTACACAGTAACAGCCACGTTGTGCAATGACTAACTTTGATATAAACATAGCCCTTCTCAGCAATGCATCAAGGATCTAAGACATTTCCAAAGGTTTCATGATGGAAAATGCTATCCACATCCAGAGAAAGAACTATGGATTTTGAATGCAGACCGAAGCATACTACTTGCTCTTTTTTTTTCTTGTTTTGTTTTGTTTCCTCTTTCTTGTGGTTCCTCCTATTGGTTTTAATTCTTCCTTACAACATGACTAATGTGAAAGTATGTTTAATAGAAATGTTTATGTAGACCTTATATCAGATTGCACAACATCTTGGGGAGAGAGTAAGGGAGGGAGGAGGAGAAAAATTTAAAACTCAAAAGCTTATGGAAGTCATTGTTGAAAACTAAAAAATAAATTAATCAATAAAAAAAAAAAGAAAACATCATTAAGCCAAACCAGGAGCCTCCTTTGGGTTTCCTCTTCCACTTTTCTCTTCCTTCTAGAGCACCTTCATTAGTCAGGTTCACAACCTCAGAGTCGTCCTTAATTTCCTCCTCTTAGTTATCTCTCAGATCCAGTCAATTGCCCAGTCTCCTTGGGTTGACCTTCACAGAATCTGCCACCTTCTCTCTCCCCATGCAGCCGTAATCTTATTTCAAGACCTCATCACCACTCTCCTGGACCATTTGCAATAGCCTCTTAATTGGTCTCCTTGCCTCCAGTCTCTCCCCTCTCCAATCCATTCTCCACAAAGCTGTCAAATTGATATTCCTAAAGCACAGGTCTGATGATGGTAGTCCCCTCCTCAAGAAGCTCCAACGTTTCCCTCTTGCTTCTAGGATGAAATACAAACTCCTCTACTTGGCTGTTAAAGCCCTCCTTGGTTGGGTTCCAGCTCATCTACGTAGGCTCAGTGCACATTACTTTCCCTCACATGCTGAATTACAGCCAAAGTAGACTGCTTGCCTTTCCCCATTCTCCCCGATCTCTTGTTTTTGTGCCACTGTATGAGTTTTCTTCCTTGCCTGGAATACACTCCCTCATCATCTCTACTTCACAGAATCCCTGGCCTACATCAAGGCTCAACTAAGATGCCACCTGCTTCAGGGAGCCTGTCCTGATGTGTATTCTCCCTCCCTTTCCCACTCCCCCCACATCCCTGGCTGCAATTGTTGGTAGCTTCCCCTCTCGAAATTACCTTTGTACTTAATTTTCTGTTTATGCATTTCCCCCCAACAGAATGTAAACTCCCTAAAGGCAAATACTTTTTCATTTTTTCATCTGTGGTTATCCCTAGCAATCAGCAAAGTACCTGGCACATAACAAATGCTTAATAAACCCTTGCTGAATGAGCTAACTGAGGCTTTATGGTTTTATTTCCAATTTCCCTCCCATTCTGAAGGGTGTGGGTATCTAATGTATGGTGTGTGATTAATGAAGAAAAGGCATTGGTTTGGAATGTATGACTGACGTATTCTGGAACTGGACAGAACTTATGCATGGGGAGCTGGGTGTTAACAGAACATAGTCCATACCTGGTTAAGTTCCCAAGTGGGTCATGAAAGTATTTGGACAAAGATCTCCTTTCTTTGACCTGAGTGGGAAGGCCTTTACATGGTCATGTGTCAGCTGGGGACTACAGGTCAGAGAGAGTTACAGTCTGTAAGGTTTATACCTGTACCCAAAATGAGGCGGGAGCTCTCTCCCTCCACCCTCTGTGGGAAAGTCAGATGATCAGCTTCTCAAGCAAGCTTAGGAAGCAGCATATAAGCAGAGACTCCAAGGCAAAAGTGGATTCTGTTGTGATGGCTTTTTCTATTAGGACTGAACACACCCGAGTTGGGGATTATATGATGCTCTAACTACTGTCCTTGGGTGCTTAGTCTCCACAGTAGGAAACCTACTACAGTCTTGGGTTTTGCTGGGTTTTTAGCACCGTGCCCAGCACACAGCAGGTGCTTATTACATTTGTACTTATTGGTTGCTGCTGATGGGATAGGGAGGTTAGCTAGAGACATGGATGCTGGAACCTCAGTGACACTACTAGATTTACAGCTGGGGGATATCTAGTATCACAACTGACTGAAGATAATGGAGAATAAAAGGACCTGCTATACCTATTGTTGTTTAGCAACAAGACACTTGACTTTCTTTCTTTTTTTTGGTAAATTGTTTATTCATTTTAAACTTAAATGGAAAAATGAAAAAAGAAAAAAAGAACATTGCCATGTACATAGCAGAACATAAGAGAGGATTCAACATAAAACAATAAAATTTCCATTCCAAGAAAATTTATATAATAAATACTCCACATTATTTTCCAAGCTGCCCAGCTTTTCTTTGCTTCTTTGTAGGTTTTCTTTTGTTCTCTGCTATTCACTTTTTACTTTATTCTCATTCCCCCACCCCCACCCCAAGGCTACATTTAAACCTGGAGATACACACACATATACATAAGTATCTACACACATACACATATACATTCATACACATATAGGTAAGACCTATGCACATTTCCACTTTCGATCTTTTTCTCTGAAGGTGGATAGCATTTTCCTTCATAGGTCCAAGTCTTTCCATATTTTTCTAAATCAACCAGCTCATCATTTCCTACACTACAGCAATATTCAAACACAATCATATCCTATCTGAGAGATTGTCCATGGAAGATTTTCCCCCAATTATCTACATTCCTTCTATTCTTGGCTACATTGGTTTTATTTATACAAGAAAATTTTAACTAAAAATAATCAAAATTATCCCTTTTATACTTCAACAATGCTATTACCTCATAATATAGTTTAAAGTCTGATTCTGTCGAATCCCTTGACTTTACATCTTTTTTTCCCTTGGTTTCTTTGAAATTCCTCACCTTTTGTTCTTCCAAATAGTCTTTGCAATGCTTGGCTTTCTAGAGCAAAATGTTCCCTGAAAACCTCCCTGACAACAAGAAGTTCCTCATATGGATATTAAAATCATACACAATTCCTTAGCAAATGCAACCACAGAGATAAGATAACAAGATTAAAGAATGAAGCCTTCATTATATTTGTAATAGGTGCTCATGCAGACCCTATCAGCTTGCTAAGATGGTGTCTCCAGGTGGAGGAGGACACTAGGGAGCTGTCTCCAGGATTTGAATGAAGATGGCTTGGAGAGACTCACATGTGGGCATTCTGAAACTGGTTCTGGACTATGCTATAAGAGGAAGAGCCATGAGGACTCCTTTCCTCACAGCTCCCCCTCCCCCAGCTGAGGGGGCTCACATGGCTCATATGAAAAGAAGCAGGGCCTCCTTGGCCTGGTCATTTGTTCTTTTCTGTTCTAGGTGCTAGAAGGAGAGTCTCTGACCTTGGGAGTTTCAAAAGCTAGGAGAGTGAGTCATGGGAATACAGAAATCAGAATCTAGGCCAGATTCTGCATAAATACCCCTTGTAGCACAGTCTCTCACTAGATGCCATTGGTGAAGGAGTCCCCTTGTTCTCCTAGACACAAATACAGTAAAGAGATAGCCAGAGCTGAATATGCCAACAGTTCCGCTATACAGGCAATAGAAAAAAGCTCTTACCATCCAGAACCAGTTTCAGAATGTCCATATGTAAGTCTCTCATGTGAAATAAATTTTGCTTGCTTACTTTTTCTTGTGAAATGTCCTCATATCAAAACTTTGTTCACAGGAAGGTATGAATGCCATGACCACCATCACTATAAATGTCTTTCCCCTCCCCCTGATAACCCACAGCTGGCAGCAAAGAGAAATGTTGTTCATGAGGAGGAACTGTCCCTTATCTTGGAGAAAGGCTGCTCTGCTCTCAGTTCAGAATGCCTGGGTCCAGAATGCCTCCAAGAGCCTTGCTGAGGGAAACACAAATGATTTGAGGAGACATGAACAACTCACTGTGGTATTCCCGCCACTACACAGACTTCATTCTCCAGCTAATCTCATAGCTGCATGTAACCAGGTTTATCAAAAAATGTTAGCCTGCTTCCCATGATCCCACTGGGCATATAATGGTGGGAGATTAGCAAGGGCCCTGGCAGCCTCATTCCAAGATTCCCGCTTAACACAGCAAGGGAAGTTTTTACCCAGGCCCAGGCTGGAGAATTTGCATTGTTGTGAAATGTATTTACTAGGATAACAAAGTCAGCCAGGATTCATAGTTTCAAAAGCCAGGCATTACCTAACACAGCCCACAGAAGAAAAGTATGATTTTTCACCTTGCTCTCAAGAAATCTATTTCTAAGCCAGCTTGGTTTCAAA